AAATCGACTGAAGTTACAAAGACCTTGAAAAATGTCACCGAGACAGTGGTGTTCCTAAAAGTTGGAATAACATGCTACACATAGTCGCAGTTAGTTTTAGTTAAAATGGTTACCTAATATAGTTTCACGTTTTGAACCCTTAAAAGTGTTTTATTTTAATATACGATAACTTGAATACCTGCAAAAAAAATTAATATACAACAATATATTGTCTAATGAGGCGGGACGAGATAATACGACTCTTAGCCAATATATCAATGCCCAAAGCCAGTTAATGCGAGCAGTCCTGCGTTTGAATTCCGGGAATTTTAGAAAATTTGTATCAGTCGGTTATTTATAATATAAACTAGCTAATATAAACCGCATGTTTTCAAATGCAATAACTTTATTCCTTCTTATTATATACAGCTTTATTAATATGTCCATTCATATGGAAATATTGCAACGGAAAATCTCTATGCCGTGAACAAGTTTGCCTCATCTTTCCCACGGGAATGATATCGATAATAAACTAGACGAGCGTATTAGGTGTTGTATTTATAAAGGTTCCGTCGATTTTTTCAAATATTCCAATATTCCCTTACGAGGAATATTGGTTCCGCCGCAAATGACTCTGTTATTTGGATTTGAATTGTTTACTCTGGATTCGAATCCACGACCTTTCACTCTCAAGCAACGTAATTAAGTATGAAGTCACGGGGTTTGACGCAATTAATATTTACTATTTTGAAACTTAATACTGTACACATTTAAATTAAACTCTTTTAACGGTTTAAAACGCGAATTGTATGAGTTGAACTTAAATACTAATTGTCGTAGTTTTTTACCCACAGCTAATAAGATTTGTGAATAAGTTTAACTACTTTCTCGTTTTAAATTGTTAAAAGTGTTTTATTTTAACTATTACGAGATTACGACTGTCGATATGACGTCATCAATTTCAAAATAACATGTCATTAAAAATACAGAAAGTATTTTATAAAAAATGTTAAATATAACTGAAAGTATTCCGAGAAATTTCGTCCCAAGTGGACGAAACATTTGCAGATTGTTTGCGGAACTCCAGAAGTGTAAACACGAGGTAGAAAATTATGCAGATAGTGTGTGGGTTATTGATTGGCGTACGACCTAGCCTTAATACTTATTCCCTACATAGATGACCTACTTATACTCCTGTATGAGTAAAAATAAAAAGCGATGAAGCAGCTTATTATTGTTACACTTTTTCGCTCTGAATATCAAATATTTAAGAGCTTAACACAATATTTATTCTAGAAATTTCCATTCATGCTCGGCTCACGATTTTTCGAAACGGATTGTATCTTCCGTTCGCTATTTGCACAGCGTTTCTATGAGATAATTGTTTCTGTTACCATTTTTATTGTCACATGAATTGTTGTAAAAGAAATGAGTACGACTGATTCGTTTTTTATTATACACGAACAAACATACAGACGAAGTTTTTAATTGAGAATTGTAAGAGATATATTATTTCTTGCGTTGAGTACGAATTTAATAATAACATACATATATAAATACCTCCTGGAAGATATGCATTTGTTAAGTTCGAACCCGTGTGGTATAGATTGTTTTTAGGATAGGTTAAAAAAATGTCTTTGTACCTAGCGACCATTTTTCTTTAAGATAGAGAAAGACGAATTAACATGGGAGATGATCTTTATGGAAGATGAAATAAGCAGCATATAACGTCTCAGCAAGATACGTTGTCTTTGAAGATTCGAAAATAACAAACTGCAACCGAAACGCGATTGAGCTTCACGGCTTTTTCATCTGTGGACACTCCTACCACCCCACGTCCAACATGTTTTAGAAATAATATAAAATACTTCGAAAATTTTTTGTCGAGATTGAACCCACGAAGCGTTGATTAATACCTAAATCTAAAATAAATAGAACGAAATGAAATGAATGAAAGCGACTCGGTAGCTCAATTTGTAGAGCAACAGCACGGAACGCTGACGATGCCGGTTCAAGTCCTGCCCGAGTCGAAAATTTTTTCAATTCATTTTCGATTTTTAAATTATATAGTGCCTTTATGTGCAATAACATATAAAAATTAATAAAGTTTGCATTCCCATACATTAAACCAACGAGTTTGTTAAGAATACCGTTTACGAAAAACTGTCAATTCATTGTTTATTTATTTGCCTAATTAGAAGTTACCATCAAATGTGGCGGATGTAGGTCACCTTTGTATTTTTTAAAACTGGGCGTGGGGTCGTAGGGTCGTGTTGTCGTCTAGTACAACGGTCAAGAGGTACTCATGAATATTTTACGCTTTATAAATTCCTATCCTTTTTCATTCCTGTTTAACTTTGAAGTCAACACGATGAATTGATCCATAAGCCTCTTTCAAATGTATCTTGAGGTTACTTCCTATTCTCTGTATCTAAATGGTTAAGTGTTTGAATTAAAAAAACACTTTTTTTTTGCAAAAACGAATTTGGATACCCAGATAACTATTGTACGCGAAGTCGTTGGCATAGCTAGTTTTAAATATGAAATTAAACCTTAATTAAGAAACACACACATAAAACTGTCCACTACTCTTATTAATGGCCGAGTTATATAAAAAGAGTATCGGCTTTTCATCATTTTCCCTTTGATAAAACAATAATGTGAATATAATTATCCTCTCAACTCTCCATCGGCTTTAAACGAAATATGTACTATCATTAATTAAAGTATCAACTTATATATTAAAATAATTAATGATGACGTGTTAATTTAATAATATCATGAATTAATTATCATTTAGTATGTAATAATAATACACAATATATTTAGTAAGATTAAATTTTTCATTAATGGACAAATTGGAATCTTTATAAGTCATGGCTGTCTTGTTGTTTTCTTTAAATTTTTTGACTGACAACGACCGACAACTGTAGCGCAGAGCTAAAGCTGTTTAGTATGGAGTTAGAAGTCCTGGATTCAAATCTCAAGGAAACAATGTTTCGATTAGGCAAAGTGGAGAAGAATTATTGCTTTACATAAAAATACTCAATAAGACAAGTAAATAAATTCCTGCAAGCTCTTTGGTGTAACGGTAGTTATGTATGGCTTTTAATCAACGGATCCCTAACGGGTCCAATATTTTCTATTTGATTTGTAATTTTATTTATAATTTAAAATATAAATATTAAATGGGTGGTAGGAATGTCGCAGTTCCTTCGTAACGATTCGCCGTTCGGTTACAGTCTGTTGATTTCCGAATATCCAAAGCCAACATTAGATTGGTAGTGCATCTTGCTTAGATGTTATAAGGCTGGTATATTTCATCTACCATCGAGTGAAACAGACAGACACACTTGTCTGTATTATTTTTTCTACACGAACTCTACACTGAAAAGGATTATGGGACATCTTACTTATATATTTATATTATACTAACATATAGACACTGTAAAACATCGCACATTCCAATAAGGAAACTCCACACGATCCATTATCTCCTGGTACATTGTTCCAGGCGATTCCCCCAGTGTCACCATATGTGTTGCCACTTTTTCTCTTTGTCTCCTTAATGTAGCATTGTTGAGTTTTGTCAGCCGTGTAAAAACATTTATTAGCTTTTGTTGGAGGGCCGTTTGATGTCTTCGATTAATTTGACCAGGTAAATGGTTCGTGTAAAGTGGCCATTGGTTTTGTTTTCCTTACAAATAAGTTATGTGAAGGAAAACGTCGTGATGAAGCGATAATATTATAACCAAATGTGAATATATGTGGCTGTCTTCTTACAATTACTCGACGTTATAATTATTTATAATATGGAATTTATACTCTTTACTTATATTATAGATGTAAACAGTTTGTTTGTTTATTTGAACGTACTAAGATCAGGAATTCAGATTTGATTTGAAAAAATATTTTTTAGTGGTTAGAGCATTTAACGCGAAATGTTCTAGGCTATAAATCATCACTCTACAATTAATAAGAACGAAGAAACAGTGGGAAATGAGAAAAGAGTAGGGAACATTGTTCATCTTTGAGGGTTGCGGGCGCTGAGAAAACAGTTCAAGAAACCTAAAGAATATGTATGGAAGAATGATTTCCCTTCTTTTGTGCAGCAGTACAGCTGTGGGTAATATCTATAGTTTAAAAAGTTAATAAAGAGTATAATAAAAATATCACATACAACTAAATAGTTATGACATATTGTAACTAATAGCAAGTTTTCACATTGTATTATTTAGTCCAAATAATAAAAGTCATGAATGTTGCATGAAAATAATCTAACATGAAATATTACGTATTGCAAATCGCTGAATACACAGATGTTTCATAAATCATTTTTACCTGCCTATTGATTTTCAAAGTTCAATCAAAAAGCTCGCATAGTTTAAATCTCGCTTGAAATTCGTGCATTTTTAATATTAGTTTACGCTTTTTGTATTCATTTCAATAATATGTTCAAAGTTTCAAATTCACATACCTAATCTAAACCACACCAAAGAATATATATAGAGACATTTTACACTGGTAGTTGATAATATATAAATAGGTCACAAATATCACATATACTAACTTTGCTGGGACATCACTGAGCTTGCTGTAGCGCCGTTTCAGTGATTTCAGTGATGCCCTTTGGTACACTTAGATTGACAGCCAGAAATAATGACTTTAAAAAAAGGAGAAATTACTTGTAGAAATCTACAATTAACTTACAATTGAACAACATCAACGATTTATTTCTTGATGTTGTTAAAAAAACCCGTTCTATCGTTGAATTAACAACTAACAACACATTCTTGGTTCTTTTAGCAGTCATTTTGAAACAATTAGTTAAAGCAATATAATGCTGTCTTAATAACAATACCTAAACATATACCTAATCTTAATAAGCATTTGAACTTAATATATCGCGTTTTAAACCGCTAAAGTGTTTTATTTAAATGTGTACTACTCTCGTAAACTACAGACCGTATTTAAGCATTTACATTATTTTCATAGCATTACTGACTGGCACATTGAAGACAATGCAGCGAGCAGCCTGTGACGATGAGATGGTGTCTCTTTCGTGTGCAAGAGGTACATCCATCAGCATTCAAGTAGCCCAGTATGGGAAAGCAGCACCAGGTGGGCATGGCTGTATAGCAGAGAGACCTCAAGATATGACTGATGTCAATGAGAAGTGTCTATGGCCGAATGCTATGCAGGTAATAGATATAAAAAGAAAATTGATGTGTGCATATATCTCTGTGTATGTACGGGTATGTGTATGTTCGTGTGTGTCTGATTATGTATGTGTGTTTTTGTGAAATTGGAGAAAGTACTTGGCTTGTGCATCACCACAGAATTAGCGGTGATGTGGCGGTGATGTGACGGTGCCTCCCATTATTCAAATAGTAAGTGTAAAGTCTTAGGTTCGAATCTTGGGTAATTGTAATGTGATTCTAATGATCGACAATTGGGTACAAAAGAATCTAGAGTATGTCTGTCGCATCGGACGGACCATTTTTTTTATCCGAATTCAGATACATCTATCTTCTTATCATTATGAATAAATATATTAATACAAAAGTTTTTATGTCTTTAGTACTCATTACTACAAACGGTTGTGGAGGCGTGTCAAAAGAAGCCAGCGTGCAAGTTCAGCACAAAGTCCAAGCCAGGGGCGGTAGATCCCTGTCCACACGCAAGGAAGTTCGTCGAAGTTGCTTATAAGTGCAGACCTTGTAAGTATTATATTACTCGTTTGTAAATGGACGAAACGTTTTAGGGCGTGTCAAGCGACATTTTAGCGCTCAATATTAAAGTAGTGATACAACCTTAGCGCGTCATATAACTTGCAGATTTTTTTAACACTCTCGTCACCTTAGTTTTGAGAAATTTTAAAGTCCCTGCTATATTTGAGCAATTCACTTAATTCGGGATCAAAAAATGTTATTTTATTCAAATTTAGAAGATTTAACTACTTGATGGTAGGTGATTTCAACTTCGGGAGTATTTACTCCAGCCTTATATTATATAAATAAGATGTGCTGTCGATCTATTTTGACTTTGAATATTTAGAAATGCATAGGCTGAAGCATAATTAAACTTGACGGCTTTTTGACTGGTCGTTCATGATCTTAACAGAGTTTTTATATTCCTAGCAGCCAATTAATAACCAGATTTCCAAATGAAATCCAACATATTTCAGTAATATTATATTCATAGAAAATTGATTAATAGCCCCATATTGCTACCAACAAGCCCGTCATACGCCTCATTTTTGGGAACTTTGGAAATTTAATATACGTTACTTAAAGATGGATAGATTAAAGATCACATACCGAAAGGACGCTATTGCGTTCGGCTATAAGTGAATAAAACCTTAACCTTTTTAGACACTCGTCGAAAAAGAGAATAGATTTTAAATCATTCCACGTGTGCATTAGGTATTTCGATCACATACTCGCGTTTATCGGCGCCGAATTCTCGTATTTGATAAAGCTGTACGAAAAATACATTGAATATTGGGTGATATTTTTCTTTCATTCAGTAGGGGCCTAGTCGTCACACCATTATGGGAAAGTTATTGGCCTTTTCTTTCTAGTTCGAGTTAGAATCTGCTGAGGCTATCCTGATTTATCGTTCGTTTATTTATTCATGTGGGTCTTAAGGATTTTGGGGTATTATTTTATCGTTAGAGACAGAGCCAATAACTGTTCCTAGCGTATAAATTGTTTAGTTATACATCTAACAAGATCACGAAACGCGTACAAACGAAAAGAAATAGTTAATTTCGGAAAACAAACCGTACGATAGCGTTTGTTTCTCGAAAATTAAATTAAAAATACTGAATAAATATTTATAAGATACTACGGTAATTGTTATTATTATTTTGGTAACTGGACCTATAGTAGTATAAAAAAAGAAATGCTAATCAAGTTTTGAGAAATTTAATTAAGAGTAAATTATTTTATTTAAATGTGGATTAAAAAATGTTTTACTTGAAATTGATTTATTACCGAATAAATAAAACGTATTTTACCGTTTTAAAACGCAAAATATAATAGTTAACTTCGGTTCGAAATATTCACTTTAAAATCTATTATGCTAAAATAAATTGTTAATAACTATATAATATTTTTCGCGTTTTAAATAATTGAAGGAGTTTTATTTAAATTTGTACTATTCGCGTAAACTACAGGCAATACTTAAAATCTACTGAATTTTCATATGTTTTGTAATTATTATTATTGTTTTAGTCGACTTATTAAAGATTTGAGTTACTTACAATTTTGTGGCTAGCGGCGCAATCATTACGATGGACATTGACGAAATACAGTCCGATAAATCCGTATTCGAGGGGACTTGAACACAGCAATAGTTTCTACGAGGGCCGGCGTCGCGAGTGTATTGTAGTGATTTATGTGATGTTATTAAATTGCGGGCAGAGGTCGCCGCCCTGCCGCACCCCAGTGTCCATAGGTGTGGCTCTCATTAGGTCCACGTAAACGGGCATTTGAAACGCCGCTGTTATAACTTACTCCATCAATACAAATTGTCATTAGCCCTTTTTCGAATATTTTATGCCAACCGAAGCCTGTGGGAATAGATTTTGGTGTATCCAGTCTGTCAAACGGTTATTAAGGTTTTTAAAGACAAATTCAAGAGTCAATAATAATAGACCTTGAAATTTGAAGCCAGTACTTGTTAGCTTTTATTTTATAAGATCGAAAAATCTGTACCTACATGTAGGATTGTAACTTCTTTTTGTAGTTTACTATATATGACCTTTTTCTTTACGGATTATAATAGTACAATTATATTCAATTAATATACGTTTCATTATGTTGTAATTACTTATCTTGGTGAAATATATACAGTAAAACAGTACTCCAACACTAATCCATAATTTGGCAACAATTCATCAAGCAGTTATGTCGTCAAGTTACAAATACGCACACAATTTGGCCTTACAATATTAGTGATTAATTCGTAAAATTCTGAATTAAATTCTTATTCCATACAAGATAATGATTAATTTAACGAAATTGTAGAACTAAGTACAAGTGCGAAGTGCCTCATGTATAAGTGGGAGGGTTCACAAGATGTAATTAATTTTTAGCGCTCGTTTGCATAAACAATGAGCAAGGAAAGTATACTCTACTCAAAGTATAATTGATCGGTGGATGCAAGCTTTTAGCGTGTTGTGGTTTAGGATTCCTAATGGAAGGGTTGTGGCCATTGCTTACATTGCAATTGATATGACCAATTTACGTAACTATTATTTTACTAATTGCTTTTACAAAATTTGATGTTTACTAAGCATGAAATGAGGGGATGTTTGTATTGCGTATATATATATAAAAATAGATGTTTATTCATTGATTATTATTAAAACGACTTTTGAAAACTTTGACTTTATATAATATAAAAATTGATTTTGATATTGGAAGGATTGCGGGGGATAAGTCTTTCCATTCATGGATGGTGTTTTTACCTAAAGGAAATTTTGATATTCCTACGGGATATTATTTCGAGACGTTAGACTAGAGATGTTTAGAAATGAAATAAAACATAATATAATTTATTTTGAAATCTAGTTAAAAATTACATAAACTTTAAACTTACATTTACTACCAGCTTTCAAATCGCGAACAAAAACAGAACACGTCATCCGCCATAACTCGGTAGGAATCAAACCTACAATTAAGTCTTTAAAAGTTGTACCAAGGGTAAACTTTTAAAGATTTTACGACTGGGTACAACAGTTTACCCACACTTTTACATTCCATTCTTAAACGATGTCATAATATTATTAGATCGACGCAAATAAAGATCACAAGATCAAAACATTGTATTCACTAATCAATGAAGTAGGCATAACTTTTGTCTTCGAAACAAAGAGAGCATCTTACTACAGATCCATTAATTAACATTGAAAGGGGAACTATTATTCATTGAGGGCTCATTAGGATCATATTTCCGTGTCAGAGATCGACAGGTGAAAAAAGGAAAAATTGATGAATACACAGCGTATGTACGTAATTCCTCAGAGCTTCGCACGCAATTTTAGGTCTTACGTCTATCTAAAATAAATAAGTCTTACAACAAAAAAAGAGGTCAACCATTTTTAGGTTATCGGTGTAAAGTTTTCACTGACTCGTTGGTGTAATAACGGGTCGTGGGTTTGAACCTCACCGGGTCCAACATTTTTTTAATCAACTTATAATTATTCTGAAAAATGTTAGACTTAGTCTGAAATGTCAATATTAAATGGGTGATAAGAATATCGAAATTCCGTCCGTCACGACCACCGTCCACAGATACAACATCTGTATTTAGCTTAGTTTAAATGCGATTCGGTTTCAGTCTGTAGATTTCCATATATTCAAAGTCTAAAGAGGTATTGTTTAGATGTTATATGGCTGGGGTATTTATACATATATCTTTCAAGTATTTAATTATTTCTTATTTATTCAATATTACAATTATTAATATTAAATAATATTACAGATAATCTGAATAGATTATACTGTAGATGTTCTTAATATTCTTGCAAAGTATACATGAAACCTATGCTTACAAAAACACCACACACCATATTATACAATAACTTTAATACAGTTCCTATCGTGCAAGGGGTTCTATATTGATTTAGAAGGTTTGAAGGAGCGGTTACAGTTTACTAGTCACGCTACTAATACTTATGGTATAATGAAAAAAAGTGACCAGATATATACAAGTCTGTCTAGTCAGGTATTGTCTGTAGTTTTTGTTAGCAGTACACATTTAAATAAAATACTTTTATCGTATAACCCCGATATATATTAGTTAACGTATTTACAATCTATTTAAATTACGGCCTGGCGTTTCGGCCGCTTTGCAGTCGCCATGGCCACAGGGGAAATGAAGAGTGTCCCTAATGTCATAGTCAAATCTGAAATACGCAATCCACTACCATGCTAATGTAGTTATAATAAATTCTAAATAAGTTAAACGATATATTTTGCGTTTTAAACAGTTGAAACTGTTATTAAATTGTACAAGTATATGTAATACACCTTTTATACTCCTTAAAAAATAGTTCTGAATATTTATCGTTGATTCATAAACGATATATAAATATATTTAGCACAAATAGTACACATTTAAATGTAACACTTCAAGATTCAAAACATCCTAAACATCGGGTCGTAGGTAAATTAAATTATTAAAAAATAAGTTCACTAATATATTTCGCATCTTAAACCATTCAAAGTGTTTAATTTAAGTTCGGTTAGAACAGTTACAGAGTTACTTTAACCCTCGTAAATGAAATGGGTTAGCAAAATAGACACAGAAATATGTCTGCCGCATACCCATGCAGGAAAAAGGGGATTCCATAACACAAATCACGAAATAGAACACTAACGGGTTAAAACACGATTTGTATAAATTATCAGTTACAATTAAATGTGATAAAAGAACTAATTAATATCTTTTCACAAACAGACGAGTTTCGAAGTAGAACAGGCTGTGAAGATGACGTCATCAAGCTGAGTTGCAACCCTTATTCGCGGGTGGCGATCTTCGACGCCCAATACGGAAGGACGGCTTACGAATCATTCAATTGCCCACAAGCACAGGGTGTGGTGGATGAAAGTGAGTTCACTTTGATGTTACCTTTCGTATTGCCGTGAACTGAAGATTGATTGATACATTGACTTCAAAGGGTTGTTTCAAACCATATAATGGTCAAATTAAAACGTAAGAGCTTCAAGGATTAGTAATTTGGTATTATATTTATAGCAGAGTTAATTAAACAAATTAGTGTAACACCGAATAATTTCTTAAAAGTTTGTATAAGAATAAATTATTCTTGATTTTCAATTGATTGAACTCTATTCGACAGCTTAAATACATATGGTAAGACGAAATTTGACGAAGTATTTGTTTTATTTATTTAGTAACTTAACATACTAATGATTAAGGAATTAATTTAACAGTAAGTAGAAACAGCAGACAGACTGATTATATAAAAAGATAATATCTATTATTATAATTTAACAAAAAGAAAACGTCGGGCCGAAGTTAAAAATCATTTCAAATAGTTTAACTAATTATCGCGTTTTAAACCGTTAAAGTGTTTTATTCAAATATTTAAATAAAGAAGACATGGAATTTACTTAAATGCGTAATTAGATGAATTGCGCAAGAGATGCATGTATCAATAAGTACAATTCGACGATGACGTGTAGGACTCGAAGGCTCAATTGGTAAGAGCAAAAGCACGGAACGCTGAGGACGTCGGTTCAAGTCCTGTCCGAGTCGTAAATTTTTTCAAGTTTTATATTTTTCAATTTGTATTATGAGGTTATATCAAGTTAATATGTATATTTACATACAGTGTTTCGAACTTAAGTCGTAATTCAACGTTTGTGTCTGTCATATTTTTTTGGCGATTAATGTATTTTTATAATATTTGCTATTGATAGATTGCGTCGCCCCATATGCCGTGGAGACAGTGATGCAAATCTGCCATGGTAAGAGGTCATGTCATATCGTGGCGAACAGCAAAACCTTCGGATCACCGTGCAGTCCAGCCTCGAAGGCATATCTTAAAGTGGTCTATGCCTGTGGTAAGCTACAACACAAGTCAATTGATCTTTAAACTGCCACTTATGAAATGAATACATTAGTAAAATAGATATTTAAATGCACTTCTTATTATAAATGTTTAAATATTTTTTTTCATATACAATATTTAATAAGTTAAGTAGGTATCGTAATTATAAGTATGCGTATATATTTTTTTAATAATTAAGGAGGACACAAGCAAGGTTCATAGATGGGAGATTTTGATATGTGTACATGAAGGCACTATATAAATTAAAAATCGAAAATAAATTGAGCTACCGAGTCGAGTTGTAGAGCGGAACTGATTGTTCAGTCCCCCCAGTCGAAATTTTTTCAATTTATTTTCGATTTTTAATTATTGTTTATTGACATTTTGAACAATTGAATTAGTTTAATTTTTTATATAACGTGTTTCTTAAGCATTATTTAGCATAAAGCGTTAAGTCCTTAAGCACTTGAGACTCCGATTCGGTTTGAATCCAGGGGAAAATAACCATACAAACTTCTTATCTGACAGTTAAATATATAATATGTTTGAAAACTTTATTATATTTTACATGTTATTGCACATGAAGGCTCTATATAATTTAAAAATCGAAAATAAATGGAAAAAATTTTCGACTCGGTAACTCAATTGGTAGAGCAACAGCAAGGAGAACGCTGACGATGCCGGTTCAAGTCCTGCCCGAATCGAATATTTTTTCCCGTCCCGGCTGCCCCTCAGGCCCACAGGCCCCTTTGGCCCGGCCCGGCTACCGCCATGCGGCTCTACCCCGACGCGGCCTCGATGCAGAAGGAGAAGCACAGGACACGGGTGCGCGCGACTTTATCCCGCCCGTGTCCCCGATCGCCTGCAACCGCGTGTTACCCGCGGTGCACCCCGGACGCCGGTGCGAGTGACTAGTTCCCGCCGGCGACCAACTTTCCTACAACCACGAACGCCGACCCGCATCTATATCCGCTGGCTTGCCGCGAGACGCGGAGGCGTTCCTGAAACATCGACAACGACCCAAGGGACCGCCCTGTATTCGCAGGGCGGATAGATCACCCTTGAGGGCCCAAATGGGCCGATCAAGGAGGTCGCGACTGCGTCGCGACCAGGAGAAACACACACCGAATCGAATATTTTTTCAATTTATTTTCGATTTAAAAATTATATGTTGCCAAGCCTTGCCTACAGTTTACGATCATTACAATTGCAAGACTTCTTGACAATAATAAAAAGGTTTAGTGTAAAAAAATGTTAGAATTATATAATATGTATATTTCAGTACCATTAGGTGTACTAACTGAAAGATATGAAAGTCCACCAGAAAAGGATGAAATTACCAGCAGCAAGGGAGTCGACGAGGATGAAGAACTCTTCGATGAGACAGGTATGTGAAAAGTTTTCTATTTTGAGCGGTCCCTATTGTAATGATTTACTTAAGAATATATCGGACTATAAATAGACTTTATTCCTCAATAGCATATGGTTGTATATGCTCAGTACGGTCATTCACTACTCATAAAAAAAATGTTAGCACTGTGCACATTGCCAGTATTTTTTTAATAAAGATATTTATTTATTTATTTAATTCTTCATTGCAATAAATACAAAGTATATATACATGATTCCTTAAAAATATTCTTTATAATACAAATTTTAAAGATACATTATTCTCACCAGTTATAGAGATATCTTATTCTTACGTTTATATATTTTTAAATATTAAAATTTATTTTAATTTTACTAAGTTATTAATTAAAATATATGTTTATATTGAAAACGAGAGTTTTTGTTAGACCTATCTGTAATCTATCTTAGAATAAACGTTACTACAAAAATGCAATACTTTTTTATTATTTGAGCTTAAATAATAATTTCTTCAAATAATTTGTTAAGTCTTAATTTATTAAACGAATATTGAATTAAGGTATTTCTTTACTCCAACTTGTATAAAATAAAATCTGATTTATATCATTGTATTGTTATGAGAAGAATACTAGAAACATGAGAACGGAAACTTGGTCAAGTTCATTTTAATATTAAATGCACGTAATTGACCTAAAGTTTCTGGGGCAATGGACAACAATCGTTTAAAAATGAATTAAAAACTGTCTATAATTTACGCGAGTAGTACACATTTAAGTAAAACACTTTAACGGTTTAAAACGCGATATATTAGTTAAACTTATTCTTACATTTTCAAATAAGTTTAACTAATATATCGCGTTTTAAACCGTTAAAGTGTTTTATTTGAATGAATTAAAATGTAAATTTAAAGTTAAAAATGGCGGTTGATTTTCCATGGCTGCCCAAGTTATTTTAACTGTGAATTTTACCTTCACAATACAATGCGTAAACAAACTTTTAACTACATTTATTTATAACTAGCTGTGACGACGCGTAAAATAGTATTTTGGGCATTTTTTCCACATTTATCGTTGATTCTTCGTTTTATAGCCTTCCTCGGCAAATATTCTAACTAATACAAAAATAATTTTTCAATTAGAACCACTAACTAGTTCCTGAGATTAGCGCGTTCAAACAAACAAACTTTTCAGCTTTATATATTATTTGGATAGATTGTTTATCTTATAATTCAAATTCATTAAATTGTTAAACATTAAATAAAGACTATAGTCATTGACCTTGTGCAATTACATCTATTCGTTTGTTCAAGAAGATACCGGTGTAAGGTGGGATACGAACCCAGTATCCCCGATCGCTGACTCAGCACTACAACCGCCATCTCAAGATATACACGTGTCCTTAGAAAAGGAGAGAGCTTCAGAAAATACTTCGGATTCAATCAATAGAACAGGTAATGTAACAATAGATGAAATGATTGGATAGTTTGTCTACTTTGTTGGAAATGTATAGCTAATAATCAATGGACCGCGGGTTCGATCCCCACCGGATACAACATGTTTTTTGTTAGACTTCGTCTGGAAATCTGGATATTAAATGGTTGGTAGGAATAGAGATAAAAAAAGTCGTGAAGCTTAATCGCGTCTCGGTTTTCGGCTGAGGATTTCCGAACATCCAAAGCCAAAATAAGTCGACAGCGAATCTTGTTTAGACTTGAAAATAATTGACAACACGATCGGGACTTGAATCGGCATCCACAATACTCTGTGCTGCTGCTCTAACCAATTCAGTTTCCGAATCCTATGCGTAAACGACGAACGTCGCGTCGTCGTCGTCGTTATGAGCAATAACATGTAAAAATATTAAAGTTAAATACTGCCTGTAGAGTAGTATACATTCAAATAAAACACTTCAACGGTTTAAAACGCGATATATTAGTTAAACTTATTTGAAAACTATTTAAACTACGGCCCGATGTTTCGGATGCTTTGAAGTCGTGACTATGGAAAGCTGTAAGGTGTTTTATTTAACATTTATTTTTATATATGAAGTATAAGGTAAGATGATATGTTAATTTCGGTTAGGTTAGGAACCTTAGTCAGTAAATATAGATCACGCTGAAGGAATTAGTTTAATCAAACTATTGTGACACTGATATCGTTGTGAGATATCTCAAACGTTTCCTGATCATCTGTTTCCAGCAAGTATTACTGCATTTGACATGACATAAACTTGAAAGACTGATGTATAGACATTATACCAAACGAAATAAATTAAACGTATAGTTCGATAGTTATTACGCGTACCTACATACGTTTGCAATATCAAATATTTCGACGAAAAATGATTCCACAACTATTTTTTTAGACTATTTCTATAAGGTTCAATCAACACAAAAATTCCCATTCAAATTATCAGTTCTTAAGTTTAGCGCGATGAAACCAACTCCTCAGCTTTATAATATTAGTTTAGATTAAAACAAATGGCAGTGTCGCGTCATAGGCTTATAAGCCTTCAGGCACACGTGGGAAATGTGATAAGTAGTAAAATACTGATATAGTCCTCCTAATCAGCTAGAGTGTGCCAACTAATCGTAATGTAAAACCATGGTAGAATATTAGTGGTCGCACAAAACCCTCTTAAAATGTTCGTTCCCGTATCATGAACGCATTAACGCGCGGCGGCGGTTAACCGCGCTCACCTGCAATTATTGTCATCTAACGCTCTAAGGCTGTGGTCTCATAGAAACGCTATAGTTCGCGTATTGTATAACGAGATGGCGCATAAAGATTATCCCTATTAGATTCTATTGGTCATTACAACTTGCACCAAAGACTTATTTATAAATACAAATACAAATACAAATACATTTGTTGTATTTATAACAAAGCCAAATTTGATGTTTAAACTGAATGATTCAAAATAAGTTGGAACGTAGGTATTGTCCGTAGTTCACGCTAGTATATATAAATAAAACACTTTAAATTAAAGTGTTAACGCGCGTTAAATACCTGCGATCCTATATTATAAACACTAGTTAAGAAAATTAAAAAACGGTACAGCGAAAATAATCGAGAGGTTATCGAGTCATTACCACAAAGAGTTAGTCCAAATTCCAACAAACAGATGGCGTTAGCGTATCATATTTGACTTTGACGTTAGGGACAACCTCCATCTTGATTTCTCCCGTGACTACCGCTACTGTAACGCATCAGATACATCTGGTTGTAGTTAAATAAAAAAAAATAACTTTAACTTATACATTTCACGTTTTAAACCGTTAAAAGTGTTTTGTTTAAAAGTAGAAATATAGTAAAGAATCCACACGCCAATATTGGTATTTGGAAACTTTAATACAAAAAGAACAAAATAGAACGTAGTTTTTATTATAATAGGTTAGCTACGATATTTATATGAGACCACAGCCTAAATGCTGAAAATTCCCGACGAAATAACGCATTAATTGAACTTCTAATCGGATGTGATCGTAATTGTGCAAAATTTAATCTCTGCTGTGTCATTGTTAGATTATAGGCTCGTATAGGCTCTAGGGTCTAGTCCGCCATTTTGAATGTGCGGCATCCATTTTGATTATATCCTCTCGTCATTCAGTGATGTTAATAAGCTGTTTATTTCTTTTTAATTTTCTGTATTATCTGTAGTTACGTGAGTGTAGATATATTAAACTTTTGACAATATAAACGTCGTTTGATAGTTAAAATAATTAACGAGTATATTTCGCATTTGCAACCGTTGAACTTGTTTTATTTGGATGAATATTATACTAACCTTCCTATCTATTATAATAAGTATTGTAAAAGATTTAAAAATCATTATTGCCACATTATGCGTTATGATAAACGTATTCACATAACAACAGAAACAAACAATCCCTTTGAACACTGTCGTTAAAATGTAAACTTGCTATACGAATTAATTAATTTAAAGTATAAATCGGTAATACAAATAAATGTCGGGTACAGTGTTTCAAAAATATTTTAGATATGTTGTTTAATTCGATGTGTATTGTTTAACAGCACGAATTGTTATTGCAGATAATTATTTAGTTTAAAAGCAAGACTCATGACTGTTATATTTACCATTTAGAGATGCGGCTACCTTAAACAGTAATACTACTTTGCGAATAATTCATAAGTACGTAAGTAAAACGAAAAGAAGTAGGTATAACGTACATGTATGTAAAATTTCTTACTAAATGAAATTTTATTAAGCAGCTTTCCTTACTAATTATTTCTTAAATTAGAACTCGATTTTAAATTGAAAATAAAATTGACTAGAGCAGGACTTAAACTGGCATTCATAGCGTTCTTCACAGGGTCCTACACGTCATCGTCGAATTGTTTTAACCTATCCGTTCATGCATCTATCGCGCGCAATAACATGTGAAAAAATATTAAAGTTTCCAAATATTTAGTAAGTTTAATAGCTTAATTGGTGAATTGCCTCTATAATATTTGTTGTTTTTCAGATCGTCCACGCAACGAAAACGTGTACTTCTATATCGGCATAGCTGTAACCATATTCTTAATCCTTCTTGTATCCCTAATAACTCTCCGATTTTATAACAATCGTAAACGGAAACGAAACGCGAAAAACGGAAACATGTTCACCACAGAAGCGCCCAACATTTTCAGTGACGCCACTTCAGACATAGACAACGACGTGAGCCACATATCTGGTAACTTCTACGACCCTGGTCATCCAGATGTTTATAGGGAGAGTACTAAGACTCTTAGGGCAATGAAGCCGTTATCTGCTGTTTACCCAACAGCTGGTGCAAGCATGTATGGAGTGGATTATATTCCTCAAATGGAGCCTTTACGATTTGAGACGGACCCTGAAGTATTGATGAGTCCAAAAAGTTTAAGTGGGTATACGAATACGCAGTTTCACTATGGCTGACGGTATGCTGGAGGTGATACCTCCACGGACAATATCTTTTAACTTATGTAAATATAAATACTGTCTGTAGTTTACGCGAGTGGTACACAACGTTTAAAACGCGATATATATTAGGTAAACTTATATGACATTTATTTTAACTACGGCTCGTTTACGTCACGGGGAGACGTAAGATAGAGGGCGTCTCTGACGTCAAAGTAAAAACTGCTATGCTAGAGCCATCTGTTCCGTTGAAGTTGGTATTTGGCGAAACTGGCCGGGTCCCTGCAGAATTGACCAACGTTGTCTTCGCGTTTGCTGGCATGCTGTTTTTCAAATTTCAAATAAGTTTACCTTATATATATCGCGTTTTAAACAGTTAAACCGTGTTTTGTTTCAATTATGTAAATTTGTATAGATACGAAAAAGGAGACCAATAATATGACATCACCCGATAGTGACAATTTTAAGTACTAAATATTAATAGATAACGCTTATAAGTACATTTTAATTGTAAATATCACAAATTATATTCTAGTCACCTATTAGGAACTATTATTAGAATGATATTCTTTCTTACACAAGGTGTAGAGGGTATGTAATTATTAATGTGTTCTTTAACATCAATATAAAATAAATGTGCCGTTGAAATGAAATGAACATTTTTGTTCGGCCTGAAATCAAGGTAAGTTTAATTTTACTCGAAAAAGTTATGATTTGTTGTTACTGTTTTTGAATGCCCTTAAATCCATATTATGTTTGAAAATGAAATGTATTTTCGGAAATATAATCACTTACTTATTGTACTGGGTTTATCTCCATATTTTTTTATTAGTTTTCACGTTTGTTTAGAAGAGGAATCCCAGTTTTCCGGAACGTGCCTTTATTTTCCCATTAAATGGGGATGTTGGTGTAATAATTCTTTGTTCCTAATAATCTTCTGTTATCGCTATAAGTTGGTTTCATTGGGAATTTATTTGTTCCGATATGATTCATAAAAAGCTATACGAATTTATTTTTTTATAAAATCTAAATGTATTTAAGCAATTACAATTTTTTATTTTTGCGTGAACTTAACGGATTAAAACGAAGAGTCGTAGTTGGCGCGCGTTTTAATCAGTTGAAATTATTAATTAAGGAGAGTCCAAAGATATGAATATTATGTAGAATCATCTTATTTATATGCTATAATATGTAGCAAAAAAGTTACCAAATGTCGCACCAAGCCTAGTTATAGCATTTGCTTCGCGCTGCCACTATATTAAATTTTCGCATAATACGCACTGAACCGTCATTGTAATTTTTTATATTTTTTTAATAAATCATCCGAAAAATTATGTTTCATTTCAAACATGTCACGAGTCTCAATACATACGTAATGAAGGAAATCTCATCTTTTTAATCGAATTAAGTAAATTGTAAAAAATATAATTGTAGAATTAGTATTTTATGTAACGTAACTTGTCGTCTGTGTTTATGACAAATAACTAGAAATAAATAAACGAATCTACAAAACAAAAACAATGACGCACTAATACCATAATATAAGACAAATAACTTTATATTTCGTACGTTTTAAGTGATGTATTAGTCTGAAAAATCAAACAAAGTACGCTATAGTAATCATTCGATTACACTGTGGGGTGGAACTATAGCGTGACGCGAAGTCGTTATTCAATAAAATTAGGGTAAATTAGGGGATATGGCTCCTCCATTCTTCAAGACGCTAAAGAGGGATCTGTTAATGTAGGGGAAAAGTCAGACGATATATTATGTGCGCTAAGTTATTTTTTGCTGCTAACAATGTCGAATAATAAATCAGAGTTCCGACTTTTGATATGCTGATGAATACGAAATGCGTTACGGTGGAACTTGAAAAATAACATGAATCTTTCAGGGTTACATTCCTTACAAAGCCTGAATAGGTCGACAGCAATCTTATTTAGTTATATGGCTGAGGTATATTACCATGAAGTGAAGCCCAATTCTATCATAAAACGATTACAAACTTCTATATTAAAAACGCAGACAGTTAAATAACAGTTATATTTCTGACTCTATGTGTAAACGTTTTGTATAATACCATTAAGATAATTTTATTTACGTACCGGTAGTATTATTTACGTTCAATTTAAAACCTCCAGTCTACTGTAGCTCTACCGCAATACCTACCACGTATATCACCAACGGCAGCCATCGTTTCTCAGATCAACATTTACAGGTAAGTAGTTATGTGCTGTCCGAAGGAAATAATTTATTATGCCTTACTTACTTAGCCTTTTTGGTGGAGGTTTGTATAGTCTCTCCCATTTGAGTCAGGGCACCTGTGACCATTTCTTTACAACATTATTCAAAGATATCGCATAATCTTCTGATGTATATTAGTGTCAATTTAATCACGCCTAAAACACAGGTGTGTAAATGGATAATTAATAAAATGTCCTGACTAGTCTCTATCCGTTTAAACAAAAGTTCAGAGTTACAGAATTATCTTAGAAGTTGTGATCATCGTTTTGGAAACGAAACTTCAGTGTCCAGAGTCTATCCACTTATCTCTATTTATAGATGGATGACTCAGAAAGAGGTAAACCTCATTCTGATCTGGTATAAGAAAAATCGCTAACGCCCATATTAGGCCACAAAATGATATTGAACGCCAAAACCATACTTATGATATTATTGTAGTCATTTCAAATAATACATATATTATTTTAATATATATAATAGTATTTTAAAAGTTAGAACATTATATATGAATATTTTATTATTATCTACAGCTCGGTGCTTTAAAAAAAAATAAATATGTATGTATGTTCCTTTAACAATTTCTTTTGAAGCAATGTTCATGTCATTTACGGTAAGATGCAAAATTTGTTTTACAATTTTCTATTATCGCATTTAATTTAAGGGCTATATAAAAATAAAAAAAAAACTACAGAACATACTACAAATATATAAGAAACTAAAGGATCTATTATTGACAAAACTCCCTCACAAAGTGCAGAGTAATCGAAAATGTCTCAAAAGATCTGAAGGGAAAAACGGAATCGCGTAACCAAAACAATCGATTCAAAATCCAGCCCATTTGGACTCCATCCATGTCGTTAGAATAATTTATTATTATGGCCGCCACTTGAAAATTCTTTTTTACATTTTACATCCCACCGAAGAATTCTTAGTAACGATTGATGGAATTCACTTATCACACTAGAACTCGGTATTTTGATCTATTATGGTGTAGAAATATAAATATTTATATTAACGGGGCCGGACCCGTTGGTCTTATGATGGTTAATAAACAACGGGTCGTACTTTCGATTACCACCATGTTCAATATCTTTTTAAACAAATTACAATTTCGCTGAAAATGTTACACTTCATTTGGAAGTCTGGTAGTAAATGGGTGGTAGGTATATTGACATTTTGTACAGGTCTCGCACCAGACAAATGGAAAAGCCGTAAAGTTATGTCGCATTACGTTTTCAGTCTGTGGATTTCCAAATATCCGAAGTCAAAATAAGTCGGCAACGACTCTAAGATTATATTTTTTCCAGATTTCCCACTTCATTTTATATTCGTCTTTTTAGTTGGTTGGTTGTCAAACCAAATAAAACAAAAATAATTTGTCAATTCGAACCTTCCTGAGATCACCACGTATAAACAAACAAACTCTTCAGCTTAATGATTAGTCTAGATTAATTATTACATTTTCTATGACAAGTAAATAATCTAGTATCTCTTCTGCAAATCACTAATTGTTCCAATTCAGACTTAATATCACAAAGCGAGTACTAGTTCATGTTCATATCATGTTTTGTTCTCTATTATTCTCCAGCGTTACGTTTGATACACGAGTAGTATCCTTGGAGTATCAATCTAGTTCCTCTACGTTGGGGACGGTATCTATAATACAAAGATTTTTTAGTATCCAATATATACTTATGTATCAAACCGCGAGGGAGCTGTTTTAAGATTTTTTGTATGATAGACGACTGACAAGCATGTGGTCATTTGATGGCAGGTGAAATACTTCTGTCAGATAACAAACCAGCTGTGACAGTGACTTCGCGTATAACAGCTGTTTTGGGCATCCAAATTTGTTTTTGTAAACCTTCTCTTCACCTTTATAAAATTAAGTTGTTACACACGACGTCAGTCGCGTCTCGTCGTTCTTGCAAGTTAATCCAAATATAGACATATAAAGACGCGGGCATTTTTAAAAATCATTTAAAGAGGAATCATTCTGTAATACATATTTTTTGGTATCATGATGTGCGATGCCTTTCTCGATAAATGCTCTAACCGACAAAAAAAATCAATTCGAACCAATACTTTATGAGATTAGCGCTTCCAAACAAACAAACTCTTCAGCTTTATATATTAGTATAGATTGACAAGATGATCTCCCAAGATCTTAACAAGGCGACGCGACGTTGACGCAAGTAGAAGTAGTTTAAATAAAACACTTTTATGGTTTAAAATGCGATATATATTTGTATATAGTAGTTAGTTAGTAGTAGTGTTTCATTTAAACTTATGGCTAAATTGAATGAAAGCCGAAATAAATTTACTCCAGTTTATTTTAGAGTGTGAACGCAAATCGACTCTCGCTGCAATTCCCGAAGAACATTCCTCCAGGCTGATGTACGCGCGGGTACAATGCGGACACGTGTCCGGAAGGTATCCGGTAATGGGCCCTCAATGGCGTCACATACGTCGACACCCAATTCTTGGACTCGAGCCAAGTGTAAGTTTGTCTCAGCGTTATTTACTATCACGAGTGTTAGGATAAAATCAGCTGCTTCTGATCGTGAGATAGAGTAGATTTAAGATGTTCTTAAGGCTCTATAAATAAGGAGTATGTGAAATTCCGTTATCCCCGTGGGACGTTGACTTGATTTAAACGTTTTTGTGTCTGTTTCATTCATATATTAAATTAAGTAGGTGTCCAACAAAGCTGTCTATCCTGTTTTCCATTTTTAATTAAGCTACAATTAAAAGATATACGGACTTTTGTGCAT